TACTAATTAAAAAAAAAAATAAAAATTAGAAAAAGCAATTTTTTTTTTTTAAAAAATTTTTTTTTTTTTTTTTTTTTTTTGTCTTGAATATCTTTATGTCTGATACAGATAAAGCATGCAACATGCAAGATTCAATCCTCCGACTAAGAATGATCCCAACCAACCTAGAGTATCAGCTAATCATGCTAGTTTAACGATTGGATCAACTGGTGTTAACAAAAGAATTGGATCAACAATTACTGTCAGTCGTAAAAACAATCATAGTATAGAGAAAAAACAAGAACAACCTTTGCAACCAACAATACAGGCAGAAGAAAAACCAATACAAGTTAACTTATGGTTTCATGAAATACGTACTACTCCTGAAGACATATTGATAGATTCTAATGCATTTCCTGGAGGACTTCAACCAGGTCAAATTTTGGAGTTAACAAGTTTAGAACAACCTGTAAAACGACTAGTCTTTAAGATAACTCAAAAGAATATAAGAGAACAGAATGATACTCCAGAATTAAAACCACTGGATAGAAAATCCCAATTATCATTAATGTCAAATCCATTTCAAAAATTACTAGATTTAGCTCCTAGAAGTTTAGTCTCTATAAAAAAATTAATCAAATTAGATTCAGTCGCAATTGATTCAATGGAAATATTCATAAAGGATGTTAATTTATCCAGAGATGCTATGTGGCAATTTAGCTCCTCTCTAGTGGGTGGTTGTTGTTATACCGAACAACGATTATCATACTTAAACAATAGAATAGGGATTGTTAAATATATGTATAAAAATGGTAAAAAGATCTTCTCCGGATATATTGATAAAGAAACTAAGATCATATATAGGAGTGAAAGTGCTAAACTTACAGTGCTAATTCAATTATCAAGAGAAATGTGGAATTTTGAAGAAAACGGAGAAATTATGTTTCATAAATTAGTTAACAACTTGTTTCCTAAAATTTTTAGAAGATGGAGAGATAAAGGAACTCATCATTCAATAACAATTGTTTTATTTACAAGTATTGATCTTACAGATATACCATGGACTCATTTGGTTCCCGGAGAACGACCGCCTCAAAGACGTGACTTTTTTAGGGTTGTAGTTGATCAAGTTAATATTATGCATTGGGATAGAATAATGGCGAATTTAAGGTTAGAATTTGCAAATTTTAAAAGAGATTGTATGTTAAGTAAAGATGAAGATATGACTTATCTGATGCCTGGTCAAACTTTACCTTCTATTAAGGGTAATATATTAGAAGCAGTTAATGTTGGATTAGTTTTATTAAATGATAGATTTCGAAATACTGATTTAAAACATTCTTTAAGTCATTTTATGTTAATTACACCAGGTACTGGATTATTTGATGTTGATTTCAATTTATTATTAGAAACTAGTAGGAAAATTTCAAGTATTGATACAAGTTTAGACATTATTTGTCTTAGTCAACCACCATTACATGTTACTCCATTATTTAGATTCCTTAGAGATGGAAAAGTATGTCATTGTGTACCTATATGGTGTGACGTTTCATTTTACAAAGATAGATCTGACGATAATCAATGGATTCCAAGATGCAAAATCTATGAATTACAAATGATGGGAGTTATGGAAAATGAAGCGAGTGATGCAAGAATATCCAGGTTACATGTAAATACTGATTTAAATGAAGTTATGGATAAATATGATGAATCTATTTTTAAACCAATACGACGAAGGGAAAAAATTGAGTTTAAAAACCAAGAAGTGGAAGAAATAGAAGAACCAAAATTCAAAGCTCCAGCAATTAAAGATTCAAAAGCTACACTTTCATTAATTTTTAATAATCAAACTTCATTATTACCTGCAAATAGTTCAACTACCACTCAATCAGCTTCAGGTGTTGTTGCTCATGCAACTGAAGCTTCAGCTTTATCCAAATTATATAATATTAACAAATTTAGTGAAGATAAAATTTCAACTTCACCAACACCGTCAATTGCTCCATCTACAAGACTCATTGAAAGTTATAGAAAAGATTCAGGATCACCTAGAATTATAAAAGGGGAAACTTTATTTACAAGAAAACAACCAGATGAACGAAGAAAAAGTTCTGAAAAATATAGAGACAAATTACCTTCATTAACTGAACCTGTAAAAGATTTACCGTATAGTAATTTTTGGATTGAAATTTGTAACCCCTCCAGAGAAATTACAAATAATATTTTACAAAAAGCTCCAATTAGTAGATGGAGTAATCTATTCCCAGTTAAAATTCAAAGAAAATTAATTAAATGGAGATCATTTCAAGCTCCTGCTTCTTTACCGACCGCAACAGGAGTTTTTCCAACTCAACAACAGTTACAAAAGGATTATACTTTCCAAAACTATTCAGTTTATCTCAATAGTGAAAATTATTTAGAATTGAAAAGTTCAGCTGATTTAATGAGAGAAATGATACAACTAAGATTAATGTTAGGTTTTCAAATATGTTATGGTGATAGAGTTTATAAAGCAGAATTAGAAAGAAAACCTTCAGGTAATGCTGATTCAATTATAAAATATTTTCCAAAAGATTATTTAGGTTCAATTATTTATTTATCATTAGATGATGAAATTCATAGAATTCATTGTGATTATAATGGTAATTTGAATGTTCAACTTTATCGAAAAACAGAAGAATCAGAAAATGATCCCAAAAAAATAACATTAGGTCAAAGAAAACCTCAACCTTATTTCCCATTAATTAGAACAAGATATGCTGATGAATATACTCCAGCTCAAGTTGATGCTATAGCTGCTCAACCACAAAAATATAATTGGAATCAATTTGATCAACTTTTAGCTGGATTTGATGATGCAATGCCAGAAGATAAAAAAGAATTTCATAAAATGAAATTTGTTGTAATGCCCGCGGAAATACCCAAAAATGCTTATTATTTAAGCAATGAACATTTAAATGCAGAAGAAATTAGAGTTGAAGGCTTAAGAAAATTAATAGCAGTTATTGAAAAAGGAAAATCAAAGAGCCTAAAGACATCAAATGAAAGATATTCTGATGTTATATTTTATACTGGAAATTTATATGATTTTTTAACTCAAGAAGCTGAAAATTTTGATATTACTGGTAATCAACCTACTTTAATGATACCTGAAAATTTGAGATTTAATAAAAATATAAAATTACAAGAATTAGCTATTGAATTACAAAATACAGAAACTGGTTTAAATTTAACTGATAGAACTTGGCATTTTAAAATTCATTTACAATGTTTTATTGGAACTGAATTAGTTACTTGGTTAGTTGATTGTTTTGAAGATATAGATACAAGAGAAGAAGCAACAATTTATGGTCAAAGTTTAATGAATAAAGGATTATTTAAACATGTTGAACTGAGACATGGTTTCATTGATGGTTATTATTTTTATGAATTTGAAGAAGAATATTTTGAAAAAATTGATAAACCAAATAAAAATTCTTGGTTTAAAAAAGATGGATCAATAACTCCTAAAAGTAATACATCCCCCAAGATTCAACCTGGTTTAGAAAATGGATTAAGTAAAATTACATCATCTCAAAATTTAAGTACAATATCTGAATCATCATCTGTTGAGAGAAAAAGAAAAAAATTTATATTATCAAGATCAATTAAATTTGATGTTGATCCATTAAAAAAATCTTATAGACCTGAATTAATAACTGTTCATTTTGATAGAGTTCATAATCCTGAACATTGTTATCATATTAGAATTCAATGGCTTAATACTACTAATAAATTTGTTGAAGATACTATAACTGCATGGTCAAGATTATGTCAAAGACATGGTTTAAAATTAGTTGAAACTCCATGGAAAGAATTATGTGCAATACCAAAATTAAGTCCTTTCCATTCATTTGTTGAAGTTAAATTAAATTTAAATCCATGGTATGATGAAGAATTTAATGATTCCAAGATTTTAAATTCAAATAAATATTATTATCATCTATATTTTTTAAAAAAATTGAATTTTTTATTAGATAATAGAGCAACATCATTCTTTCTGAAAGATAATATTGATATTACTTATAGTTGGGGCAAACCTTCTTTTCAATATGCTCAATTTATTCATAAAACTGGATTTTATATAGTTGAATTAAGAGATAATGGAGATTTTTTTTTAGCTCCAAATAATATGCATGTTACAAGAATTAATTCATCAATTTCACCAATTGGAGGAGGCGGTGGAGGAGATTATGAATCAAATACAAGAGCATTACATTTAGATTCTCAAAAAATTATGCTTAATTTTAGAGCTGCTTGTCAAAATGAAGAATTTTTAATAGAAGTATTTAGAGATGCAAAATATTCATGGAAAGAAAAATTTATTTCACAAATAAATTAGGAACTAAGAAAGTTAATTTGCTATTCTTTCTGCTATTTTTATAGTATCTGCTAATACACCATGTGCAGTAACTTCAGCACCAGCTCCAGCACCTTGTATAATTAATGGATTAGGATATCTATTAGTTTTTATAGATATAACATTATCACTTCCTTTTAACGAAGCAAATGGATGATCAAATGAATATTTCCCAATTTCAACTGATACTTTATTTGTAGATAAATCAATTTTTCCAACAAATCTTAAAACTTGATTATTATTAAATGCATCATCTTTAATTTTTTGAATTTCGGAATCATAATTTGATAATTGATTTAAAAATTCATTTGAACTTTCTACAGACTCTAATTGTTTTGGAATTAAACTTTCTATAGGAAATGAAGTTGGATTTTCAATTTCAAATCCAGAAATTCTTGCTAATATAGTAACTTTTCTTGCAACATCTAAACCATTTAAATCATCTCTTGGATCAGGTTCAGTATAACCTAATTCTTTTGCTTTTTTAACTATATCACTAAATTTAATATCAGATTTTTCTGTAGTTGAATATTCGTTAAAAATATATGATAAAGTACCAGAAAATATACCTTCAATTTTTTCAATTTTATCACCTGTTAAAATTAAATCCTTTAAAGGTCCAATAATTGGTAAACCTGCTCCAACAGTTGATTCATGATATATTAATCCTGAACCATCTTCTTCAGCAGTACGAAAAATATCATTCCAAATTTTTAAACTTGATGAAAAAGCTTTTTTATTTGGTGTTGCAATTGAAATTCCATTTTTTAAAAAATTTGAATAATAATTTGCTATTGATACATTTGATGTATTATCAATTAAAATAGTTGGCTTTGGGGAATTTTTTAAAAAAGCGACCAATTCATCTAAACTTAATAATGGTTGAGTTGTTTCTTGTTTATAATTTGATAAATTTATAGATTTATAATCTTTATTAAAAATTGCTTCTTTTGAATTTTTAGCTAAATATATTACATTAAATATGATTTTAGATTTTAAATTATTTAATTGATTAATATATGCTGAACCAACAACACCTGTTCCAATAATTGCTAAATTGACTGATTTTACCATGATTTTAGTTTGTAATTTGTTGTAAAATGAGGAACCTAATTGAGTTGAGTCGAAAAGAATTTTTTGAAAAATTTAAACCACAGTGGATCAATTTAACTTAGTCATGTCTGAGCTACCAATACCACTGAAAATATGGAGTATCAGTTTATGTCAGTTTATCAGCTTCTTACCACAATTTTTGGACAATAATTGCCCTTCATCTTCTCCCAAAATGATTAATTAAAAATGAGAGCTTGATTGTTTGAAATCTTACCAAATCTTTAGAAATTTAACCAATTGCCTATACAAAAAACAGACTCTCAGCCATATTGATTGTTGTTGCTTTATTTTACAGCTAAAACATTATGAACAAACTACTATGACATCTAGAATAATGGGTATAGATCAAGGATCCAGAGGCTACGAATTTGTTTAGACCCACTGCAAATGAAGAATTTGAGGACAATAAAGTTGAAGCATATATTTTTAAGTTGCCGTCCTGATTATATGCCAAATGAAATTGAAGATTTATGATTCTCAATAAACATCAAATAAAAGAACTTTTCACCTATCCAGAATTATAATTTAAAACGAATTGAGTTTCGTGACTAACCAGTTCTCTAAAAGAATGTGTAGAAAAATGGTGTCCATATAAAATTTGGTTACATTCTATGAATTTGTGTAATAATATGAAACAAAATCTAAGATCTTGATTCACTTAAATTAAAACCCCTTGTACTCACATACTATACTAATTTGATTCGTCTTCTTGTCTAGTATACAACTTGGAGAGACTTGACAAAAAAGAGTAATTTGTGTCTGGATAGACATTATGTTTAGGTTTTTAAAGAGACTTTTTCGCCATCAGAACGCTGCTCATTTCCTCTTGATGATTTCTCTTTTTAATTCCATCAGACCTGGCTTTCTTTCAAATATATCTTCAACTTGAAACAATAATTTTCCGTTTTACTAGCCGATACAAGCTTCACTCACAAACAAACGTTGAAAAAAGAGCTGTTTTGACGGAATTTTTTGTTTCAAGTAGATTTAAATGATGTACATCAATTGCGCAATTGGGAATAATAAATGTACGAAGAAAAAGAAATGTAACTTAGGAAGCTTTACCCATCAATTCTAATAATAAAAAGTCAAAATCATATGAGATATAGGAATCGAAGGCTATATCGATAGAGACGATAAGATTGCTTTCTCTGAGTAATTCGTATAGTTTGAAAAATAACGTGCAGTGTCATTGAAAAGTCTAAATGATAAATGATTGATCCTGACTAATATAAATTACAACGGTTGCTTCAATGGACCAAGACTAAAACCAATAAAAAATGTAAATCGTCTAAATTACAAGTTCCAATTCTAAGTATAGAAACATGAGATCTGGCTGTCCATTTGGTAGATCTTATACCATATTGTTCTAGATTAATTTTACTATGTTATACGATTGAAAGAATTATCACATGATAAAATAAAACTAACCTTACGAAAGAAGAAGAATTAAAAGAACAATAGCTTTATTGTTATTGTTATTGAGTAACCTTTCAATCTTAAACTCCGGAATAAGTAATAAGCATCATTTACTTTTCAAACCATCATTTTATTCGGACTAAATTTCATTATTATTATATATTACAATTGCCCCAAATTTAAAATAGTCTAATCAATAATTAATTTATTATATAAAAGATCTAAAATATTATTATTTATTTTAAACGAAGGAAAAACCCCATCTCATAATTATCAAAAAGTAACAGTATCAACCACTAGCTTACTAATGGATCCTGTAATTAATAATAATAACTCAAGAGTGGTACAAGAAATTGATGGGGAGATAGAAGAAAGCTGGAATGATTTATCATCACCAGATCTAACAACAGAAACTATTACACAAGATCAACAACTACAACCACATAGTACAATACGATCACGTCTAAGTAATAATACTAATGAAGAAGGAGGAATAAATAACACAAGTATAGAATCAATTGAATCAATAAACACTCCATCAATACAACAACAACAACAACAGCAGCAGTTACATCAATTACATCCTCAAGAACAACCAAAATGGCAAAAATGTACTATAAAAATATTAATATTAATAGGTTATACAATAACAACTATATTATTTTCAATTATAACATATTTACATTATTTTTTCATAAGATATAGTTATGATGAAGAAACTGCTATAAATATATTAGATGGAGTATTTAGAGCTCAAGAAAAATCTATTAATGATTATCATAAAAGACATCAACATGACAACCAAAATAATAGTCATAGAAATCTGTTGAATAATAATATTGAAAATATAATTAATGATAATGATCAACCTTTAGAATTAAATGATGGAATTAATCCACCAAGTTATCAATAATAATTTATTTTGAAAAGTGTATATTAAAAAAAACTAATAGATTGAAGTTTTTAATTATTGTTAGAGCCATATTTAAATGATTCAAGTGGTAATGCCACAAATCTCAGAAGAGAGGACATTTTGAAGCGGGTGTTGTACCCTTTGCTTCGATTGTTGTACCCTTTTTGTTCTGTTTTACCCTAGAGGAACGTGCTTGTTGTACTCTATGAGGCCTCGTTCCCTCAAACTCAATTGACTTCCGCTCATTGATCAAGGATCCAATATTAACAAACGAATGAAATTTCAAAATTGCAATCGAGTCGATTTTTATATAAATAAGTAAATACTTTAAACACTAATTTTAGAAACAGGTAATATAGACAAAACATTTATTAAATTATATATTAAATCTCTAAGTATACAACCAAATAAACTAATATTTACAAAATTTCAAACTCCACTCAATTTTATACTTCTTCTTCTCCCTTTTTGTTTCTCCTCCTTCAGTTTCTACCACTTTTATCCTCCTTCATTATGCTATATATTCAAAAATCAGATTTAATCTAAATCTTCTTCAGTTGGTTTCATTTCAGCAGGATTTTTATTTAATATACTTGAAATATTTTGAGTTGGAGCAATAGCAACCATCATAACAATTAATTCATAAACATCTTCAGGTACAGTTTTTTGATAAACACCCAAGATATCAGTTGGATTAGGATATACAGCTAAAGCTTTATAAAAACATATAGCAGCATCTAATGAATTACTTTTGGATTTTTGTTCACCAATAGCAACTTGTTCCATAAAAAATTGTTCTCTTTCATTTAAATCTGTTGGGATTGGGTTTTTTACTAAATCTTCCATTAATGCTGTTTTTACATTTTCTAATTTTGATTGTTTTGATTCATTTTCTTGTTTTTCTTTTAATTTTTTTTGTTTTAATTGATTTTTTTTTAATGATTTTCTAAAATTGGGTGAATTTCTACGTTGATAATCAAAGTATATGGCGTATCCTGTTATGGCTGTTGCTGCTACTGCTGTAATTGCTAAGATTTTAGATGTTGTTGACATGACTATTAAGAAAATTAAATGGATAATTGGTTGGTTAGTTGGTTGCAACTTGATATTATGATACACATTATAATTTTATTTTGTAAAGAGTGAGAAAAATAAAATTTAAAAATTTTAAGTGTCGCAAAAGTTAGATTTGTGTAATTAAACTTTAGGACACACAAAGCTACCAATTTTTGTATTTAAAAATTAATTTCAATGATTGGACCTAACAAATGTAAAGAAAAAAGTAAAACTAAGACATCAAAGAATCAAACATAAACCACCTATCTTAAACCAACACCATACCCATTAATCAGGTCAATTCATACCATCAACCACTATACACATATATATTTACAATCACACAATACATACACATACATAACTCGTCATAATGTCTGAACAAGGAATAATAGAGGTACCACATTTAAAATATCCAAATCCTTTAGCAAATTTTAGTAGAGGTATAGGATATCCACAATGGAAACCAATAGATACAAAAAAACAAGTATTTGAATTATTTAAATTTGGTTTTTATTCAACAGTTGGATCATATGCATTTTTATATATGTGGAAACGTACAACATTTAAATTAACTATCCCCATTTCGGCAATAACATTTATAACAGTTGCAAAAGGTATACAATCATCATTAGCAAATTTAAGAGAAAAAAATGATTGTTGGAATATATTTTGGGGATTAATTGGTTCAAATACTTTAATATTAAGTTTAGGGTTTAAAAATATGCCTCCAAGAACAAAAATTATTACAGGATTTTTAGGTACAACTGCAGCAACTATAATAGATAGAGCTTATTGGGCTCAATCTGCAAGTTCACCTGTTAAAAATGCTAAATATGATTTAAATCAATCAAATGAAAAATTAACAAAACAACAATTTTGGGATGTTTGGAATAGAAGACCTGCTACTGAAACTTTTCAAGATTTAAATGTCTTATCAACAGCTAGAGTGATTGAAGAAGAGAAATAAGAGTTAAGTAGAGTTCATAAATTAATGAAATGTGTATAACATTATTTATTTACAAGTCTCTTTAAAAAATTATTCTTAAATCTGTTTATATGGATATTCTAATTTTTTTAAACTTTTTAATTTCCATAATTTCTTTTTCTTTTTATTAACAACATGTTCAGCAAATACTTCTTCACAATATTTAGATTTCCATTTTCTAATAAATGAAGGATCCCATAATTCACTTGCAATCCCTAAATCTTTACAACATCTCATTAAAGCATTTGATTTACAACCTTCTAATGCTGTTGTAATTTTTTCCTCCCCGCCAAAATAATCTTGTTCTCCTCTTGCTATACTAATCAATCTACCATGACAAATTAATCCAAATTCTCTTGATATTTGAGATTTTGTTATATGACTTGATGTTCTTGGTACAAGCCCCCAACCTCCTGGTCCAAATGCTTTATTTAAAATTCTTCTATATTTTATTTCTGGTAAATATAATAAACCATCTGGTTTAATTTCAATATCTAAATCATCTATGGGAGCTAATAATATATCACTTATTTCTTTTGAAAAAGGTTTTGATCCTAATCCATGATATGAATCTGACCAATCTATAACTGCATTTGGAGTGGTGGTTGATTCTTTATTTAAATTTTCGATTGGTGAATCATTAAATGTTATTGATGATGGTATAGAATTACTTGATACTGGAGTATCTATTATTTCTGCATCTTCATCCTCTATTATTTTTTTAATTGGTTGTGATGATGATGATGAAGTTGTTGTATTAGAAGCTGCTTTAGTATAACGAGAATATAATCTTAACGTGTTAAAAACATTTACACGTCTTATTGGTTGTTGAAACGCGTATTTGATCATTATCTTGATTATAAAAGATTAGATTAGATTTGATTATCTGCAATAATTTTTTATAATTTTTGCGAGAGAAAAAGAATGAGAGAAAACAACAATTTTTATAACTTATACGTGTAAGTTAAAGATTTTAGTACACATTGAGTAAGTTAATACAGAAATCATTCTCAAAACAGAGACATGCATAACAATTCAAAGTGGAATTGAATGGCTAATGAGAAATGGATTGCCAGAACCAAATGATAAACCAGCTACATTTTTCGAAAGGTCAATAAGTATTTAAGAAGTGACAAAATTGAAAGGATACAGGTCCCAGTTATGCTAGATAATAGTAAATGTTGAACACAAAGGAAGCTGAATTTTTATGGAGAAAACAAATCTCTTGAAAGGTGGTGATATCATCATGACGTTTTAAAACTTTTGTTGTTATTTGAAAATTTTGTTTCATTTGTTTCCAGCATTTACTATTTTGGTATTACATTTTGAAACTTGTTCATACTTTCATAGACAGTCCAATTCAGATGTTGAGTTGCTATAAACAATCCATTGAAAAAAGCAGAAGCAAAATTTCAATTATGCTGGTCAATAGTAGATGTTGAACACAAACGAAGCTACATTTTGAAAGATGGAACAAAACTCTTGAAAGGTGGTGATATCATCCTGACCTTTTGAAACTTTTGTTTCAATCATTAAGATGTCGCTTCATTTGTCTCCAGCATCTACTATTTGAAATTACATTTTGAAACTTGTTTATGCTTTCGGAGACAATCAATTTAGATGTTGAGTGAGCCATAAAAATTCCTAAAGAAAAGCTGAAGCAAAATCATCAAATTAATTTTATGATGCTAACAGAGCAGAAACAGATGGAAAAAATAAAACTTGATTGATATTAAAGAACTTGAAAAGATTAAGGATCGATATCAATTTCTGAGGAGAGATGAAGGGAATTGATGTTAAATCATTCATTCTCGGTTATATTGGTGTTGATTTGAAGAACAAGCTAAGTATAATCGCTTCAAGAATAAAGAGTCATCATAAGGAAAGATCTAAATCTTTCAAAAGGTTGCAAAACTTCTTCTATCCTTTTTAGTTGTAGACATTAGAGGCAAGTGATTGGTAGTCATCGAAATTGGTAATGTTAGTGTGCTCTTTGATTCATGACCAATAGGAAGCTCACTGACATTTGCAGTTTCCATAATTACCAACCACTTCTTCTAAACGTATATAATGTATGTGTATATACCTTACAGAAAAGAAACTCTAACAGATCAAATAATTTATCAAACATTCAGAGAACAGAACTAAAAACACAATTAAAACTTTTCTAAATCATTAAATTCATAAATAAATAGCTATTAATAAATAAAACTGATGCAAATCATTACATATTAAATCTTTGAAAATATTCAAAATCATATAAACTTTTCCTTAATGGATCAGACATTTTAAACATTGAAGTTAATTCATGATAAGCTTCATTGGTGGATAAATTAAAATTTGATAATTGTAAAGAATAATCAAACATAAATTTTTTTTCATTATTATGAAAATTTGTTAATTTTTGAGTTAGATAATATTCTATTAATATATCATTATTAAGCTCAAGAAGTTTTAATTTTTGATCATTATCCATTTTCTTGATAAGTTCTATTAATTTTTCTTTTTCATTTTCTTTTGTTTTTGAATAATATTGATCTTCTTTGAAAATGGTTTTTATCTTTGATTCTTGTAACCATAATCTTAAACATGGTACAAAATAATAACCATTATAATAATATGATCTTGTTCCTCCTGAATATTCATTATTTAACATTGACATAATATCATTAGGAACATATACGGGAACTCCTCCAATCATTGAATAATGTAATGGACTTATTTTTTCAAATGTTAACCAATGTTTTCTTCTATCCATATATAATTCAATAGATTCTCCTTTTTTTTGTTTTGTTTTTATATAACTATCATATTCTGGTGGTGGATTAGCATTATTTATACCAATTCCAGTTATATCAATATATGTACCTGTATCAATATCTATAAATCTTGCATCTATATGATTATCTTTTGATGCTATATCTCTATGATGTAAAAAAGTTGAACAATCTATAAGATATTTTCCATATCCTTCATTTATATCTTCCACCACCAAAGTCATATTATAATTTGATGATAATCTATTTAATTCTGAACTTGGCATTTGAATATCAATATCAATATCAAATGGAAACATTAATCCATCCCAATACCAACTTAATAAAGGTCCATGAGCAATCCAACTTATTATACCTTTTTCTTCAGCAAATCTAAACCAATTTCTTAATAATCTATCTAATATAATTTGTTCTCTTATTTCTAATTGTTGTAAATTCCATGAATCATCTTTTATATATCTTAATGCTCCATTAAAAAATCTCCATTCATAATGCCAACCAGCATCTTGATTTGATTTATCTTTTCTTAATGTTGCTAATTTATAATATGTTGGTTCTTTTAGCACTGAGTATTTGTTTGCTAATTTTAAACCATTATAATGATTGAATTCTTTTCTTGTTAATTTATTATCTTTTATAGTTTGTGGATCATATTTTAATTCATTTGTTATTGCATTATCAATTTTTTTTAATCTTGATTCATATTCACTTATTTGTTCATCTATTGATTCTTGATTATAATGAAAAGAATCTTTATCTAAATATAGCATTCTTGATGAATTTGTGGAGGTTTGTCTTGTTATTTGTCTCATTTTGTATATATCATCTTCTAATTTTAAAGGTCTTGATGGGATAGTTTCAATTAATGAGTTATATTCAATTTGAGGATTTAATGTGACTACTTCAGAAGCTGATAAATTATTTCTATTTAAATAAGTTTCAAATAATTCAGTTCTAACAAGTCTCTGCCTCTTATTTGATATTTGAGTTTCATAAGTTCCATTTTTTGTTAAAAATATAATTGAATTTGGTAATTCTTGATTTGTTAATAAATGACCTTTACCTTGTAACATAACTTCTAAATGATGAGCTTTATTCATTGGACTTGTTTTTACAATAAATCCTGGTAAATCTTCAATTTTTAAACCAATTTCTTCAATTTCTTCATCATTTAAATCAATTAAATTTTTACACCATCCAGGATATTTTGTTTTTTTATTTGCTTTTGATTGTAAATCTTGACATGTTCTTTTTTCGTCAATGGGTTTTAAAATTTCTTCATTAAGCATAGTTAAATCTACCCAATCTTCCCATGCAAATGGCATTTGAATTAAATGGTCTTTTGATTGTTCATTGTTAGGATTTTTCGTGGAAAGTTGATATTTTAATTCATTTAGGAATATAGATAGTATAAAATTTGGTTCATAAAATAATTCAGATCTATAAAACCAAGATTCATTTTTTTGAATGTTTTCGTTGTTTAGTAGTATTTGTTGATGTTGTAGTGGATCTTCCTCTTCTATAGGTAAATAATGTTTTGGTTTTATATCAATACTCACATGTTCGGGCACTGTATTAGCTAACCGATATTGATTATCATTATTTAATTTAACTTTATTTAGTAAATAACTTATTTTTTCATTTGTATTTAATAAATGATAATCTAAATTTTTATTAAATTCAATTAAATCATCTGTTTTATAATTTATTGATGATGAATGATCTTTTGCTAATTTTACTAAATAATCTTCTTGTAATTGATAATATTTTTTAAAATAAAATAAATTTATAAATAGTATTATTAAAAATATACTTCGTAGTAGTTTTAATTCTATCATATATGTATGTGTGGGGTGAATATATGTGTGTTTGAAGTGGTAAATGGTGGTTGTAAATGAAATCGAGATAAAGAAAGTTGGTTGTAAAAATATAAAAATTTTGGTTGTAAATATTATTTATTGATGATATTATGTATGATAGTTAAATTCGTATATATTAAAACAATTAGTGTCGTGTGACAATAAAATTGCTTTTGTGTCTTAGTTTTTGTTAATGTCTCGAAACTATTTTGACAAAGAGGATCTTGATTTATTTTAGTCAAAAATGGTTACGAGTTTTAAAAGGCTCAAAAGAGGCTTATATCTTCTATTTTTTGACATATTTAAGTGAAGGAGTACGTAGTTGTAGCTGTAGAGTGGCACTATGGTTAGGAAAGAAAGTAGAAGTACCTGGCCACAAGTTATAAGCCAGGATTATAGATATCGGCTTGATTAATATAGATTTGAATAATTCCGTTCTGAAATGCAAACGGAAAAAAATTGAAAATTTAAATCTAAACAATTAGACTAGTTTTGAAAAAAAAAAAATCTCATTGCGCTTAAATGAAATTTTTCGTTTGTGTGAAATGTCAATAGTCAAATTTCGTTTAATAAGAAAACGTAAACAGTAATAAAAGGGACCAGGTGACAAAACCTTATTTCTTTATCGGGATGGATGTAAAGGGAGACATTGTCAGATGATTTATTGTACACCCTCGGTTGAGAATCTTACTGAAATTGTTAACCAAGATCTGATTAAATAGTGTGATGAGATTCATGATAACTCTTGAAATTTCAAAATATATATTTCAGTCTCTGTAAGATGATAAGAAATAAATAAAAAAAAAAGCAATCTTAATGTCACTAAACAATGTTTTTTAACCGCCATGAATACCCTAAAATTAGTGGCATATTAAATTTTTTTTTATTGTTTCACCAAAATGATTAGCGCGAGAAGTGTGAGACATCTTAGTGCGAAGATCGACGTAGATTTAATGCGAGAAAACTTTAGTCTTATAACGAATCTTCGTGTCATGTCATTAATTAAATTAATTGTTCATCCGTAGTTTGTGGTACTTAAAATTTTCATTTTGAGTATCAAATCTTGTGATACTTTTCACTTCTATATCTTAATCTACTTCAAAACATCGTAATCAACTTACATTCATTTACAAATCTAGTTAACACCTATTTATTAAGCTCAAGTCATTCTCATTTATCTATTCATTCACACAAATAACTACTGACATACTTTTCAACCATACACATACAAGATCTACAAATCATATGAAATATACACACATATAGCCAATGAATAAAAAATTACAACAACATGGTATTATACTATCTAATAAAAGAAAACTACTACTTATATCATTTATATTAATAATAATTATAAATACAATATGTATACCAATTTTTATAAAAAAATCAAAATCATTATCACCAAAAAAGTTATTTAAGTTTAAGAATAAGAACAAGAGTAAGAGTAAACAAATACTACAAAAACCAATCTTAAAACCTGCTCCAAACCATAAAAATGAATTTCATCAAGGTTTAGGTGGTGGATTTTCATTAGATGACATACCACAAGTTATTGAAGTACCTGAAAGTTCAACTACAACAACTACAACAACAAACACAGAACCAACTACAATACCAGAAACAGCTGAAGATAAAATAGAACAATTACTTCAAAATGTCCCAAATGATCCAAAACATTGGTTAACAAATACAGAATTAACTAATCATAAAATCCAAATTAAAAAAGATGAATTTTTAAAAGAAAATTGGATAAACAAACCTGCAATATTTTATGATCCAAGATTTACATTATCTTTATATTTATCAGATATAAAAAATCAATATCTCACCAAAAATCCAACAAATGATATATCAAAAAAACATGAAATTGTCATCCCATTTGCATGGCAAGATTGGGTAGATTTAACAATGCTTAATCAAGAATTAATAAAACCTCATAAAAAAAGAAAAAATTGTGAATATATGAAATCTTTTCATCATATTCCTACAAAAATTCAAGATTATTGTATAAACAATTTTGATATAATGAAAGATGATTTAGATTTAATGAATTTATCATCAATTGATTTTGTACCTGGTTTTGCAGTTAAAAAATCTCCAACAAATAAAGCATCAAATGAAGTTAGAATGTTAGAAGGAAAATCTCATTTATTAACTTATGCTTCAAATCCTTTATCAATAATATTTTTAAGTGAAAATGGTACATATGAAGCTCAAATTGATGGGAAACAACGTATTGTTGATGGTTCATTATTTGAAAATTATTTATCTAGAGAAGGGAAAATTGATGATGAAATTATTGAATTAGATCCAGTTAAAGAGTTTAATAATCTTGTTAGTGATGTAAATCCTGAACCATCCATAAATAAAATTCAACCTACTGAAATATATTTACCTGAATCATCATTTGATTATCAACAAGATAAAATAGATTTTCAAATAAAAGAATTTGAAAAAAGAATTAACAAAATGAATTCATTAATTCATAATGAATTAAATTTTGATTTAAGTGAGATAAATAACCTCAAGTTAACAAGATTTGAAAAACAATATTATGATGGTTTAAAAATTACCAAAAAAATAAATAATAATAATAAAAAAGAACATACATATTTTAGAATGGCAAGATTAAATTTTGGTAATTCTGAAAATGATCATGATGCAGGATGGCATTATGAATGGAGATTTTTTAATGGTGCATTAAGATTCTTAAAATCTGGTTGGTCAATTGAAGAACTACAAATTAGAGAATCAATATTATTAGATAGAATATTAAGAAATTGGTTTAAATTTTCTCAACAAAAGGGAATAATAAGTTGGATTGCTCATGGCCCTTTATTAGCTTGGTATTGGAATTCATTATTATTTCCATTTGATGAAGATATTGATATTCAAATGCCAGCAAATGAATTAATTAAATTTTGTAAAACTTATAATCAAACTTTGGTAGTGGAAGATATAAATGAAGGTTATGGAAAATATTTTATTGATTGTTCAACTTTTATTCATCATAGATCAAAATCTTATAAAGAAAATCATATAGATGCAAGATTTATAGATATTGATACTGGTTCATATATTGATATTACAGGATTAGGAGTAAGTAATGAAATTCTACCATCAAGATATGATTCAATTTTGGAGCAAAATTTTTTACAAGGTAAAACTTCAACTATTTATAATTGTCGTTTCCCACATTTTTATTCATTTGAAGAAATTTCTCCATTGAGATTAACAAAATTAGGTGATATACCAGTATATATCCCCAATAATTTAGAAGAAATTTTAAAAATGGAATATGGTGAAAAAGGTTTAAAAAATTATTCATATGGTGGATTTATATTTGTTGATAAATTAAATTTATGGATTGAAGAATCAAAATTAAAATTTTTAAAATCACTGCTTGAAGATTCAATGATTGATATAGTTCAAAATTTATCAGAAGATGAAATTTTAGAAATACTAATTCGTAATCCAGATATTTTATCAGAATATTATATAACTCACAACGCTACAAACTTTCATAAACAAGAATTAGAAATGATGTTTAATTTACCAAATGGTACGCAAACAAATATGAAAGATATTGGTTCAATGTTTTCAAAAGATGAAATTTCTTTAAATAATGATTATCATCAACTACTCCAACTGAATACAAAATTTAATAAACCTTTAAGAAAATCTATTTTTAATTATGAAAAATTTGATAGAATTTTACATCATAATGATTAGACTTTACAAAACAATATATATATGTAACTATAATAATTTAGATAATAGATTAATTAATAAATAATGTATGTAATTATAGAAATTTTGGTGAAGTCTCTAATTCTATTTTCTAGATGTTTGTAAAATCGAATTTTAAAAGCTGAATACCGATATTTAATGACTTTATATTCTATACTATAATATGAACGTAAGAATATTTAACTATTGTGTAGTCTATTTGATATTATTGTAATTTGTAAAACTATATTTTTTGAGAAGTAATTTACAAAAGCATTTAACTGAAACACAAATGATAACAACAGTTCTTGAGTGAAAACTATACCATGTCCTGGTGCAGCATTCATTGAAGACACGAAAGGATTACGAAAGAGGCTGAACTTTTATTGAAAATGGTCCTAGAACAACTAACTAGAGCCCAACAATCATGGTTAAAAGCACCATGTTATGATTGTTTTGCTTTTAACTTGAACTGTAGGACTCTTGTGAGAACTTTGTCACGCGTGTCAAGTTCTTTTTACATCGATTAATATTGGTTCCTTTGATTGGTACACCATAAATTAGACGATGAAATTCTGAAACGTTGTATGGTAGCGTGTAGATAATTCAATCTAAAAATCAAATTAAATAATTACTGAAAGAAATTAAAAATAATACAACAAATTTATCAAAACACTCACTATCAAATTCACCAAAACAAACTATTACACCTATTTATATTCACTCAAATTTCATGGTTAGAGATAAGGATGGATCTATTTCTTAAATTACCAGTTGAATTATGGGTCCTAATCATCAAATATATAAATGATAAATCAAAAATTGAGGAATTAATATCAATCCCAGTTTTACAAAATTATGCTTTACAAGCAAGGTTTTCCAAGTATCAACTTTTCGCTTTACACGCAAGGGTTTTCAAGTATCAACCTGCTGATTTTATGCAAATACTCGCTGATGGCTCATTAAAAGATCTAGAAGAACTATATGAATTATACAATTTCAAACCTTCGAGAATAGTCATAGAAGCAAATAAAATGAATGAGTTATTAGAATTAAAAGAAGAACCCGTGGACTCACAAAATGAATCTTCAGTTGAAATTAGAAATATGAATCAATACCGTCATGCTGAATTTGAACTTTTAATTACAAATAGCATGCATGTGGACTTGGAACTAATTTTAAAAGACTTTAATGTGGTGGGGGTTCATTTGTTTAAAGATACATTGTTTAAAGATACTCCATTGGAAGTAACGCTTGAAGAGTTAAAAGCATTCCAGATTTATTTGCAAAGGATTCAATATAGTAAAATAAACATTTTGACAACAATTTATCACAATTTTTTTGTGGCTAAATTTCCTACATCTTTAAGAAAATTAACATTAAATATTTATGGTGATGAGAATGTTGATGTAAATTTGAGAGATTTACAATGTCTTGAATATTTCGAATGTAAATTTATGTCAGGGGTGGAATCGTTGGATGCTCTTCAATTATCTAGCACGATCAAATTCATTAAGTTTAGCTTCTGTGGCTTTAAAACCTTGGGAAACTTGAGAAAATACAATTGTTTGCGAACCATTGAAATTTTTTGTTGTTGGAATTTATATAATATTATCAAATGCTTTTTTCCTAATTCATTAGAAACTTTAATATTAAATCCTTCTTACCATCAATCCGATATCACTAAATTGCATGATTTTGTTAAAGAAGGAATAAACAAAGAATTTGAAATATCAGATTTCACAAGCGAAGGGAATTCTTTTCTTCTTGGATCCAATTTTAAACTTCCCTTGAATACAAAAACTTTGAAGATTGATGGAGAATCATATGGAGAATCCAATAGTATTGAGTTGGGGGGTAACCTTTGCTTGAAAACCCTTCACACTTTGGAGCTTTGTGAAATTCAAAACCTTGATCTAATCGATCTTTTTGCATCATTACCAGAACACATGATAGACCTCAAAATTATTGCTTGTGAAATATTAAAAGTCGATAAGTGTTTAAATCATCCTTACGTCCAGCAATTTTGTTTCTCATACAACACAGTGTCAAATATTTTTCAAATAAATTTAAAGGAACTGACAAATTTAAATCATTTTGAGATCGGATGGAACGCTTTGGCTGCACCTGACAATAAAGAGGAAAAGCTCGATCCCGCATGGTTTTTAATAAATGAGCATAATGTTTTTGAAGGAGCCAGCGGACACCCAAATAAAAAGAGGAAAGTATTTGAAATGACTAATACATTGCAAATCAATAACTTTGATATTACACATTTGGATTTGAGTAAATCCCATTCTAGAATTTTTGACATTTCGGTAGTCAACAACTCGAATAGCAGAATTCAACTTCCTTCACAAATTTGTATTAAAAGCTGCACAAGATTAAAGGTTTTAATATTGAAAGGGTTGAGTATTCAAGTGATAGATTTGAACAATTTTCCTTGTTCTTTAGAAGCACTAACAATCACAGGATTAAAGTTGATACAATTGAAAGGTGAGTTCAGTAATTTAAATCAATTAAGGTATTTGAATTTTGGTGATAATGGAATTAGTTACTCAATGTTGACCGCCCAAAAGTTTCCATCGACTTTGGAAGAATTAGCTTTATCCGGATACAAGGTTGAACATTTATCTTGTCTAAAAATAGATAATTGTATCAACATGAAAACCTTACAATTGATAAAAGTAGATGAACTGCAGAAACTTAATGGTGCAGATGAATTAAAAGAGTTGTTCATCAAATTAGTTGGTATTGGGCAATCTAGCCGTGCTCTTGTTAGAGCGTATGAAACCGAGTTCGTGATATGGGTCACTTATGGGAGGAAAAATTTAGACGACTTCTCTTGGATTCACAACTAAATTGAAATTTGAAAATTAATTCGTAATAGTTTTTGTAAACATAATTTCAATTGATTGTAGTACATTTCTTCAAAACCTCTTTATGGCTATTATTTCACATCTTTGGATTGACATACACTAACAGGATGTAGAAACAAACTATGGATTTAAAATCTCTTCAATAACTTCTATAAATTGATCTGGTAATTGCTGAACTGTTGACTCCTAAAAAGAAGTAGATCTTTTAACAAATGGTAAAACGGAGCATGACCAAAAACGTGAAAGAGATGATGCTGGTGATTTGCTTAAACTCTAGCTCGCCGGTCTGATTAAGAGGATCAAAAACTAAACAATCTTGTTTCGAAATAATGGAAACCCCATTTTGGCTGAAAACTTTCCCAAATATATCTTCCGCAGCTCTTCAACGTCATTATGGTTATGTTAACTCGGTAAATACCTATATGAATTTGAAGTGAAATTTAAAACCTTGAAAACAGCTAACTATCGAAAGATATGCTTGACTCGAAACATTTCACTCCCTAATGGCCAGTCTTATCAACCTACTTATCTGCTTGCCAAATAGTATTACGATATCAGTTACTTTTTGAAAAATCCGTTGCTGAATGAATTTGTCGTTATTTCGTAATTGATTTATAAAATCTAATTCTCCAATTCAAATTTCCAAGCTAATCATTGAATTGTTAATAGTCGGTTTTTCAAAAGTACAAAGGAACAGCCAGTCTTTTTCGAATAGTTTTATCATTCAGGGGAGGAGTTCAAATAATAATTGAACAAGGAAATCCAAAAGATGGTAATTGTCTGACCAAAATGATTTATTGCGGAACAAAAAAATCCCAGTACTACTAAGCAGCTAGACTCAATTCGAGAATATCAGAGAGATCTCAATAGAACATTGGAGATCATTCTTGTCAATACAAAATAAATATCAATGACCGTAAGGAAAATTTCAGCGTTTTCTTCGTTTGTTTGTATTAAGCTATTGTAGCTACATAAAACAATATTATCATTCGTGGAAAAAGGTTTCTTGTAACTGTCGTGATTTAACATAAAGGAACGATAGCACCGAGATTGTCCTTATGCTTTTCTTTGTGATTCATGGGGCGGTCGAGCAAAACAATCTCCACTGTGCTTGGTAAAATATTGCCTGTGAAGTTTTTTGATATATGCTTCAACGATATCTCCAGTACTATTCTCTTGGTTAACTCTATATAATTCATGACGACCTACAATCTTCCTTCACCATTTGATGTTTTATACTCATCTTTTCAAGGATCGATAAATTCCATGATATCAATCGCTAGCATATTTTTAGATGGGTATTTGGAAGCACCAATTATGATATTAGAATTCAAAGAATATACAGAAAAACTTATAAATAATATGATTAAATTGGTTGAAAATTTAAAACAAATAAGAATCAAACATATATTAATATAAAACAAATGACTTTGAGAAATTATATATAAAAATTTTTCAAAGAAGAAATGATTGCAAATTTTTATTATCTTTTAATTGATCTATTTTCAAATAACTTGATCTTTATTCTTAATCATAGAATCTCTTGATTCTTTTTTTCGCACTTTTTTAAACTTAATTTTTTTATTTTTTCTTGTGCGAACTTTTACCCCCTAAATGTTCTCGCTCGCAATTTTTTTACCCGTTAAAAAAATTTAATTAATTTTGCAACTTTAACTTCTTAGACTTCTTTAAATCAGTTGAAACACAATCAATTGCGACTAAACTAGAACTTTAGAATAATGTATAAGGCATATACAATACCAGGGATAAAACCCAATATAGTTAATAATATTGAAACTTTGAAAGTTAGTATTTGGTTCATCAATTGGTAGCGCGCAATTAGTTACTGCGGTACGGATGTGTGCGGTACGGATGTTGTGTTTTTGTTAGCGCTTTGAAAAGGTTAAATTAACATACTAAATAATGGTGATGTACAACCAACTTCAAGGAACTAAAAATAGTGAAAGTTAGTAATCATGATAATCCATAATATCATCAATGAATAAAAAAGTCACATACAACACCTAATGGAGGAAATATAATAGCAAAAAAGATTTTAATGATATCTGAACAAGTAAAAGGCATTATTGGTGATTGATTTAATTTGACGATTTGAATATAAATTAGGAATCAAAAATTTAAGAAAATTAAAATCTAAGGAAAGAAAGAAGGAAATTTGATTAGTTATATACTGCTACAAAGTTTTGAATTCAAAAGATATTAAACTTTAAGTTTTTAGTAAATTTGTTTGGAATGTTAAAAAATAGATCTATTTTTATTTTAACATTGCTGTTGTATGCGGCTATACTCTTTGTATTCATTTTTAAGGTTATGTGAATCAATTTTAGGTTTATTTAGGTTTTACCTTTGTTAGTATGAATTACTTTGCCTAGTTATAAAATTTTTTTAAATGACGATTAAGGGAGTAAAATAAGTAGTGCAATAACTTGATTGCTATACATTTAAAACTTAGTGATCATTATACAAATCTATCCTAACCATGCCAAGTATACAAGTTGACGAGATACTTGAGGAGATTAAATAGAAGAATACGAAATGAAGAGAATGTTAAAGTTTAAATTATTGGATTCTTTAATTACTAATTTTTTAAGCCTAGTTTTATATTTTTATTGTTTTTTCAGATATGAAATACTCCATTGAATTTTGAAGCAATTTAAGATTTAAACTTAGTTAAATTAGTTACCCCAATGATAAATAAGTTTTAAAAATCAGTTACCAATTAATGCTTAGTATAAAATAATAGTCATCGAGAAATCGAGTAAATTTTAGAAATATATTCTCTATAGAATTACCCCTTTTGAAAATGATGTAATCAGAGGACCATAACCTTCTTTTTCAGTTAAACAAATAATTTTTTATAGAAAACGTTGAATTGCTGCACCACTTATGTACATTTTATATACAATAGTTAATTTCTATTGTTGTTTGTGTATTTGTTGTTATCTACTTTTGTACTAATAGCCTATATAATTATTGGTGGGTACCTTAATTTGAATGATCTTCAATTACCGACTTTTATTTAAGAAATTATTTTACTCGGAGTTTTTAATTTGCTTAATAATATTATTAATTTTATTGTTTGCTCATTTGAATTTGAAACATGTCATGTCTTATCATTTTTTGCAATTTGAAACATCATCACGAAAATGATTTCAATTTTACAAATTTGTGAATCACTGATAAAGTTATTGCTGATTGTAAAAATACGGTAGTAAATACTTGGTTTAAAGCTAAAAGCCAATCATATTTTTGAAATCCGCAAGAACCGAATCGGTATTTTCACAAATTATTAATCATTATGATGCTGTCTTATGGAAGAATGATATTATTATACATGACCTGAATCAAAATATTGAGCTTAAGATGATATGAGATTATGAATAGTAGGCACAAATATTTTAATTGGCCCAAGTTGCCCAAATAATTCAATCCAATATCATCGAAAATTTCTTTGTATCATAATCCCGCATCTGTGCTAATTCTAGTACAACAAATTCACAAGCTTTTGAACTTTTAGTTCAGTTTTTTTTGACCGTTGGTTCATATACTAAAAGTTCAAAAGCATGTGAATTCATTGCCCAAGATTGAAAATTATTATTTGAAGATACTGCGCATCCATTAATACTTTTCCTATCTTATTCAAAAACCATTTATTGCTATAATGAGTCTTGCCTTTTGTTTTATTCATACCATCATCAATACCTTTTCTTGAATATTTTATACAATGCAGTAAATGTTTATAACCAGCAACACAAGGATTATGCTTTTTAAACATGTGCATCATTAGCATATTCGACAATTGGGAATTTGATTAACCAATCTTGTTCATTTATATCAACGAAAGCATGGATTAATCATATTGAAGTTCGACTTGTTTTATCCGCTTGACTGTCAAATTAATATCATTACTATGTTATTCCATTGGCAAACCTAGTTGCTGGTATTGAGCACAAAAAATTTTAACAATCCAACTCCTGATTGATATAATTGTATACCTACGTCATCTAATAATTCATCTTTCACTTTCTCCTACTTCAGTTGACTTCTCCTAAATAATATCATAGTCTTAAAGTCTTCTTCAATATCCATAATCTTAAATTTTTATACTTAGTTGGTCTTGCTGTGGATTTTAAAATTTTGACACGTTGGTTTCATCTCCATCTAACTCAAATTTTTTTAATAAAATTTTGATAAATTTTTTAAACTAAAAAATACCCTCCATTTATTTTAATAAATTTAATTCTATGACACCCTTTAATAGGACCATGACTAAAATCTAAACAAGTGGTCGATTAATCATGAAAATCTGTAACATTAAATCTGTAAAATTGGTTGAATTTGTACAAAGTTAATCATCAACATAAAGTGCAAAAATTAATTCAAATTCATTTTTTCCATAAATAATCCCGCTTTCAAATCACATTCTTCCAATCCCATATTTTAAAATATATATGAGTCTACCATAAGCAACTAGATTGTTTCAAACCATATAAAGCCTTTTTTCAATAGCCAAGATATTGATTTAATTCAATTATATCCTTTTGATGGCTTAACATAAGGTTGTTCATTCTCATTTCAGTGGAGAATTTAGATAAACTGTACTGATATCTAAACGTGTAACTTCTAAGTCCAATCTGACTCCATTATTAGAAGTAAAACATATAGACATCTTACTGCCTATCTAAATGCTTCACTCAATTATTTCAATATCAGTTGAACTATTTTAGTTAATCCTGTAACTGGTGAACTAATTCTTGGTGAATTATAATCTATGAATGCATTTTGTATAAAACATTGACCTATATTAACGTGCTTTATAAGTATTCCTTTTGCTGTGTCTTATTATGTTTATTCACCCATGTAGTTGATTGTATATTTGCTAAGTGTATCAGAGCCAATGTTAAATAAATTTATTAGATCTAATAATTTCTTTCTCCCTTTCGTCTTAATTTCACTCGGTCTTACAGCACCGATAGATTCAAGGATACCGTACAAAATGCTATGATAGAACTTCATTCTAACCTTGAAACTATGTTCAAATAATGCTATTACGATTTGTTTAAAAACCCATTATATTAAACATGTCTATTACTTAAATTTATATATATACATATCTGTCTCTACAATAATTCATCTAATCTAGCAGCAGGATTTGATTCAATAAAATCTAATGAAACTTTATGACCTAATAATTCTCTTATATTTGAAACACCATATTTTATCATTGTTGGTCTTTCTAATGATAAACCCCAACCTAAAACTCTTAAATTTTTAGGTAATCCCATAGTTTCTAACATTTCTGGTCTAAACATTCCTGAATTTCCAATTTCAACCCATTTTTTTAAACCTTTATGATATGCAAAAATTTCTAATGATGGTTCAGTATATGGATTATAAGCAGCTTTAAATCTTAAATTATCAACACCCATTTTACCAAAAAAATCATCCATAAATCCAATTAAATCACCTAATGTAATATCATAACCTGCTATAACTCCTTCAACTTGATGAAATTCAGCTAAATGAGTTGCATCAACTGCTTCATTTCTAAAAACTCTATCTATTGAAAATAATCTTGTTGGTTTTGGATTTTCAGCTAATTTTTTTAACATTGCTGCTGAAATTGCTGTTGTATGAGTACGTAATACCATACGTAAACTTTCTTCTGATTTCCAAGGATATCTATAACCAATAGATTCATATTTACCATCTTGATGTACTTGTTTAACATTTTCCCAATATTCTTTATCTTCAGGTTCTTTTGCAACTTTAGGATCTTTTAAATAAAAAGTATCTTGTAAATCTCTTGCAGGATGTTGTTGAGGTACAAATAAAGTATCAAAATTCCAAAAACCAGATTCTACATATTGATTAGAATCCATTTCAGTAAAACCCATTGCAAAAAAGATATCTCTAAATTCTTGACGAACTTTCATTAAAGGATGTAATGCTCCTGATTGAGGTATTATACCAAATGAATTAAAATTATAATCTTTAAATTGTGAATTTTTCCAATTTCCATTTTGAATCATATCAGAAGTTATATCAGTTTCTAAATTTTTAATTTCTAATGAGAATTTATCACCCTTTTGAATTTCATATCCTATAATTTTAGTTAAATTAATTAATTTTCTTTTTTTCAATTCTGTTAAAATTGATTTATTTGATAATTTTCCTGTTTTTTGTATTTCTTTTAAATCTATCAATACTTCATCTTTTGGTAATTCTTTAACTTCAGCAATTAATTTATTTCCATCTTTTTTTAACCATTTATTTTTAAAAGCTTTACCTTGTCCTATAATACCTGTTGAACCTAATTTTGTTTTTAAATCATTTAAAGTTAAACCTTCCAATTGTGCTTTTAATACTTCATCAACAACTTGTATTTCTGGAGTTGCTCCTGCTTTTAAATAATCTTCTGCTTCTTTTGTAAGTATCCAATGATCAGTTTCTATTTTATTAAATTTAATCATTTCTCTTGACCAAAGAGAACTTAAATTTGCATGTAATTCATTGGGATTTATTTTAGAAAGTTGTGAATTATTTAATGAGTTTGGTATTTCACCTTCTTTATCTAATAGCTGAAGGATCTCAAGTTGTAATTGTGACATTGTAGGTGGTGGTTGCAAGTTTCTTAATTGTGAATCATTTTTGAAAAATTTATTTTAGTTGATAAAATAATTGTTTGTATGCACACTTCAATATCAATATCATACATTACACTTCATAATGAGTAATAGAGCACCAACTGGTGAAAAGGCATTCTTTTGTCCAATACCTGAATGTGAAAAACATTTTACAAGAGCAGATGCATTAACAAAACATCGAAAAGGTGCACATAATTTACAAAATATAAAAGATCAATTACAATCATTTAAAGATTCGTATCAAGGTGTTGAAAATATAACAGAAGATAAATATAGAGAATTAATTCAAAAAGATTATGAATTAAAATTACCATGGTGGTATGATCAACAATTTATAAATTTATTAACTGATGAAAATATAACAATTGATTCAATACCATTTGATTTAAATCAATATAAATTAAGTAATTTAAGAATAAAGCATATTTTAGAAACTAACGAAGATAATATTCAACCTGATCCAAATAATCAAATTATAAATATTGTGAAAAGACAAATTCAATATGAACATCCAGAAAGAGTAATGAATTCAAATAATGATAGAATTATAGAAAATTTATCAAATGAATCTAAACAACTAATACAGAATTATAAAAAAGAGATGGAGGATGATCTTGACTTGAATAATAAAGACCTAACCCAATTAAAACAATTACATGACAAACTTCAATCAAGGCTAAACACAAGTTTAAAAATAAACAAGATAATAACAAATAATTTACAATCTTCCATAATAACTAAAAGAAAAATTTGGTTAAAAAATCAAATTTTAATTGATGCAAATTTAAAAATTGGATTACCACCAGAACCAAGTTCTATTCCACAAAGAGTAATTCAAGATAAATATGATGTAGAATTATTAAAGAATCTATAGTATACGTGAATGATTTAATGAATAGTGACTTTTTTTAGCTCTCACGAACTTTGTTTTAACCGTTGTCAACTCAACTCAAATTGATGACCATTTTTCATAAATTTGTTGAGCATATAAATCATTATTTTAGCACGGATTCTATCTCATCAACTGTCTTCTGATTCTTTTGAAGTTCAACTTACACATGGTTGCTGACAATTTAATTGAATTTGACGAGTTTGACATTTCAACTTTAGATTTGTTCCTTTATTGGCCAGATGATACCGTGGTTGAACAAACAATTGTAAACACTAAATCAGCTACTAAAGCTAAATCTAGACCTGTTCGATCATCAATTAAATCACCTTTTAAATCAAGAAGAAAATTCAAGAAGTACAAACTTATCCACCTGATTTCATCAAAACCTTCATTAACTAAACCGATTGTTCATATATGTTCAATCGACAACATCTCAACCAAAGCCACTTTCAAAATCACCTAATGCTAAAGGTAATAATTCAGCAGCATCACCTTTAAAACCCCAAGTATTTTTAATTTCTCCATTCAAAATATTATCATCAATTTCAGTATTAAAAATTGCAACTTTCCCACCTTTCAATTTAACTCTTTCAACATAACTATTTGCTGGATATACTGTTCCACTTGTACCAATAACTAATATTAAATCAGGCATTAAAAATTTATCCTCAATAAAATTATCAATTTTAGTTATTAAATCTAATGGTAATGATTCTCCAAACCATACAACTCCTGGTCTTAATAAAAATTTACAAATTGGACAATTTGGTAAATTTGATTCATCAATTGATTTTATAGGTTTAAAATTGGGGGATTTTGTAGTAACATTGGAATTTTCATTTTCAACATCTTTCAAAGCTGATGTCAAAGGATGTTTAAAATTATTTTTTTCAATATAATTACATGAAAAATTAGTACATTTCAAAGTGAAAAGATTTCCATGAATATCAAATAATTCAGGTATATTTGGTCGTATTTTATTAAATAATCCATCAACATTTTGATTTATAATTAAGAATTGTTTATTGGCATCTTTTTTAAATTGATCTAAAATTTTTATAATTGATTTATGACTATTATTTGGATTTGAATTTAATGATAAATATCTTCTCCATGAATAAAATTGCCACACTAAACTTGGATCAATATAAAAAGAATCTGGTGTTGCTAAATCTATCATATTATAATTTCTCCATAATCCTTGAGAACCTCTAAATGTTGGTAAACCCAGAGAAGCAGAAAGACCAGCTCCTACTAATGCTATTACTTTTTTTGAATTTTTTAAATGATTTTGAAATTCTTTTAATTGATTATTCATGTAAAGAAGAGAAATCTACATATCAGATAAAACTGATTGATTGTGTTAAGCGGAATATTATTTAGATTTATATTTTATTTTTGTGCTACTATTATTATAAACAACTTATCTTATTTTGATTTTTGATTTTCTTGATCTATTTTCCAAGCTAAATATTTTGCAGAATGACCTAGTTCAACATTAGAATTTGTTATAATTCTATTCATAAGTAATTGAATTGGTGGTGATTTATAAAATACAACTTCTTCCATTGATGAATCTAATTTTTGTCTTTTATTGACTGGTAAATCTAATTCTTCAACTAATCCATAAGCTAATACACCATCTGGTTGAGAATATATTGGTAAAACACTATGATAATTTGTACCTGTTGGAACAATATGAGCTGGAGTTGGGGTAGTTAATTTATTAAATAAGTTTTGTGGTGTTAATGATTGTTGTGGTTGCTGCTGTTGTTGTTGTTGCTGTTGTTGTTGTTGTTGTTGTTGGAATTGATGTTGTTCTTGTTGGTGTTGTTGATCTTGTAATTTTTTTAATTGATTTTCTTGTATTTGATCTTGAATAGAGACATATGAAGTTGGTAATTGTGGTTTTTCTTCTATATATTCCGGAGAATGTTGTACTGGTGGTGGACTCATTGCAATGGTGGCCATTTTTGAAGGTTCATTAATAGGTGATCCATGAGGTAATGATACATTTGTAGCATATACGGCATTAGTTGATCCACCTCCTCCTTTTAATTGAGAAATAGGTGTAAATAAATAAGCATGACGTCCATTGACTTTATCATCATGTTCAGGAACAGGTATAACATTTGGACTTGTAGAATATTGACCTAAATCATCGGTTGGAATTGGAGCTGTTTTATATACTGAACCTCTAATTGGTGGTGAACTAGTGGTACCTGGAATTGCATCAGGTATTTCTTCCAGATTATAATTTGGATCATAATAAGATCTAATTGGTGAATCATATTTAATTAATTTTCTAGTTTCATTAAGTTGAATTAATGGTTGTTCATCATCTTCTCTAACTTCATCTGGTAAACAAGCTTTCCAAGTTCTAATACGATTGAAAACATGATTTGATTCATTATATCTAAATTCACATATAAACCAAGGTGCATTAGGTGGGATCACTCCACTTGGTAAATCACCTTTTTGATATCTTGTAAGAAATAAAACATAACATGGACCAACAATATCATCAATTAAATGATCTCTATATTGACCTGTTTTACAAACTTCATTTTGAAAAAATAATCTATCAACTCCATGACATGTTTGTTCTGGACGATAATACCAACACATATTACAATATTTTTTACCATCTTCAGTTGACCAAATTCTAAATATTTGTCCAACTATTGGTCTTTCACTATCAGCTGGATTTTTCATTAATACCCAATCTCCAATTCTATAAGAATATCCATCAACATTCAATTCGTCCAAGGGAAATCTCAATACACCATCACTTGAAGTAGATGTTGCTAATAAAACATCTTTATCTGATTTACTTAATTCATTTTGAACAATATTATTTGCTTCTCTTTTAAATTGTTGATAATCTAAAAATTCTTCACTATAAGGATCTCTTTGAAAATATTGTTGAAAATTTGCAAACATTAAATCAAGATCATGAATAAATTGATTAACATCAGTATATTTTCTACTTCTTACTTTAACTCTAATTTCTGTTAAACTCATTGGATTTTTAATAATTTCATAATAATCTGGATAATATTTTAAATCTGGTAATTTATCAAAATGTTTAATTAATAATCTATCTTTATCATCACGTAATTTTTTAAAACCTTTTAAAATTTGTTTAATACGTGATTCAAATGGTTTATCAATGATTGGTGGTCTACCTCTTCTAATCCCACTTTCAACTTGTTCTAATGTTTGTTGTTGTTGAATTTGTTTGATAGTTGCTCTTTTTGGGGTAGTGAATGATGATTGACGTGAAAATGATGTTGATTCTACTTGTGGTGGTGGTATAGGTCTTTCAATTGTAGGAGTTGCACTCATTTCATATTCATCTTTAATTACAGTTGGAGAAGGTTCTATAATTTGATCTTCTGGTAATTCACCAATTCTTGGATATATTAAATTTTGATCAATAGATTTATCAAGTTGTAATTTTGGAATTACATTTTCTTCAACATATTTCTTTAAAGCTTCTGCATGTTTATATATAACTGATTCTTGCATGTTATAAAATCTAGCATTATATGATATTAAAGCTAAATCATTAATAAACTCTTGAGCATTATTATAATCCAATTTTTTAAGTTTAGCTTTAATTTTATGAAGAGAAATTGGATTTTTAATTACTTTATAATAATCTCCACCTCCAGTTCTTGATGGCAAAGCATGAAAATAAGTACTTATTGGTTGACCACCTTCAGTATATGAATAAATACCATCATACAATGGATTTAGTTTGTTTTGTAGTTTCCTTCTATCTTTTTCTGACATTGGATTAATTGATTGTGATAAGTAAAGTGGTTGTAAAAAAAATAAACACACACACTTGAATGTTTTTATTCTTGTAGAAAGTAAAAAACGCGCATTATTCCAAAAACGCATGTACATGAATTATATCTATACAGACTAAACTAAATATAAAATAAATTTTTTGAAGAATTGAATATAACGGTATTTAAGCTTTTATTTTTGTCTCTTATACTGATGGATCACCATAGATACCCCAGTGTTGTTCAACATTATATGGACCTGGATCTTTCCAATAATCATTATACATTGTGAACATTATTACTTTAGACCCCAAACTTTGAGTTATAGATTTTATAGCAGCTACTTGATTTGGTACAGAAGGAACACAACTTCCAAAATTATCACCTTGAGTTGGCCAACCAGTTTCAGTAATTAAAGTTGCTTTTGATGAACCACAAACACTTTCTAAATGAGCAATTTGTTGTAATAACCATGGTCCAGAATCACTTGGTTGAACTCCACCATCCCAATAAGGATGTGAATTAACAGCTAAATAATCTGACATTTGACATAATTGTGGATTGGCAATATAAGCAACTAAAGTATCAACAGTAACAATATAACCATTATAATTTGGTGCATTTGCTTTTAACCATGATCTTGCAGTATCAACAGCTGTTTGCATTTGAGCTACTGTTGCAGCTCCAGCATTAACTCTTTCATTACCTACTGCAATTGTATGTACAACACTCCAACCTCTTGAACTTGTTGAAATGGCAGATTTAATTTCAGCTAATCCACTTTGAACTGATGATGGATCGATATTCCATAAACCAAGATACAATTTTTGATTTGAAGTCATTGAAGCAAGAACATTTTCAATACCTGAACAATCAGTACTATATAATCTAATAAGTTCATAATTTTTTAATTTAGCAATATCTGCTGCAACTTCTGCTGCTGTTTTACATTGATCAGATTTGGAATATGGTGAATATGTAATACCATAAGATCCAACTGCAGCTGTTGCACCTGCTGAACTACCACCATTAGATGCTGTAGCTGTTTCAGTATTAATTGAACCAGTATATTTACCAGGAGAACCACCTTGGAAAGTTTGGGAATCAATAGCTATAGCTGAAGTGACTGCTGAATTTACAATAGTGTTTATTTGTGAATTGACTTGAGGTTGTGATACAACAGGTGAAGCTACTTGAGTTGCTGCTGATGTTGCTGGAACTGCTGCTGCTTGTTGAGAACTTCTACCACCAAATAAAAATGCAAACAAATCATCTGCTGAATAATCATCTGATGAGGATGCTGATGTTGTTGCTGCTGGGGCTGGTGCTGGAGCTGTTTGAGCCACTACTGGTTGAGCTTGGGTTGATGCGACTACTGGAGCTGCTGCTGCACTACTACTACCGGAACCAAACCAACTATTTAATAAATTAGCAAAAAACCCACCTGATGTCGTTGTTGGAGCTGATGCAGCTGGTGTTGCTGGTGCGGCTGGTGCCTGAGTTGTGACTTGAGCTGCTGGTTGTGCTACTGGAGCTGCTGCAGTTGTTGGAGTTGAAGTGAAGTCATTAAATAAATTAGCCCAGAATCCACCTGTTGATGAAGTTGTTGCTGCTGGTGCTGGTGCCGGCGCTGGTGCTGGAGCAGTTGCAGCTACTACCGGTGCTGCTGTTGTGACGGGTAGTGCAGCTGCTGCCGGGGTAGTTGTTGAACTTAGACCAAAAAGATCTGCTAATAATCCTCTTTTAATGGGCGCTGCCTCTGAAATACTAGCAGCAGCTAATGCCGCTATAACATAATCTAATTTCATAATAATACAAACTCCAAAAAGAAAGTAATGAAATGAATGATAGTATTAATTGAATATGAAGTTGAAAATGAATGAATTGAATGCAAATGAAAGGAATGAAACTTGATGATAATACCAAACTAAAAAAAAAAAAAACCATTGAAAACATCATGAAAAATTATGAATACTATATATAATTAGATTACCTTTTACGGGGAGAACCCATAAGATTTTGACATCATTATTTGGAATTGTGTTGTATAGGTTTTGAAGTTTTAATGTTAAAAGAAAGTGAAATCTTTTTACATTTATTACCGCATTTGGTAATTTAATTGAATAAAATATGACGCACTTCAACTTAAATTAAAAATTTGAATGTACGAAAAAAAAACCAAATCACTTAAATTTTGAAGTTGTTTGAGAAATGTCCCACTTAAACCTGACGGTAACTTATTATGACCCCAAGCCAAGGACTTTAAAATTTCTCAATTGAGACTCGTTGACAAGGCTTTTTTGTTGTAGGATACTTTTTTGCAATTACTGCTTTTGAAACTTCGCTGCTAACACTTTTAAAATAATAAGTCTCTGATTTGGAGGAACACTCTTCATTATTACATCAATTCTTGTTCACGTCAGTAAAACCTCAAGTCAGGTAAAGTCACTGATTAGATTTAAGTTGACAGTTGATTGCATTAGAAAATTTTATTATTTACCTACCGTAGCCCAAAAATTTAAGAGGTAACTCGAGCTCTTTTCCAAACCAGGTCATCAAACAAATAAGCATGCCTCACACCTGTTTCACTTTCAAAAACTTAAAGCAAAATATCGTCTAGTCAATGGAAGATTTGGGATTTTTGGTTTCATATCACAACACATTTTGATCACAGTTTCAACATAATTTTTGTATGTTTCAGATATTTGACATTACACGACTTACCGTTTTTTGCAACCGAAACGTACTTACTAACTTTTACGTCTCGTAGTTCAACTAATTCTTGAACTTCCTGTATTCTTCAAAAATATCAAATGGATATTGTTCTTACTTTATTGAACAAATAATTCATACCTAGCTCAAGGAAATTTGCATTGATCGCTATATTTGATTTAGTTTTTGGATCCAGGGGAAAAAGACTTAAAAGTTAGAGTTATAGATCGCGATAAGATCAAATCGAGTAGATTCAGATCAGTAGACACAAAATACATTAAATTCTCCTCATTTAGTTAAAACTTGATGTCAAAAAAAAATTCTTAATTGTAAATAATGTTTAATTAGAGAGAGTAAGATCAATTATGTTTCTTGTTAGGGTAAATGTCGTGTATAGCGACTGACCTATAAAATATCATGTAAAGTTCGAAATGTGGGTAAAGCTATGTTTTAGATAGGATAAGTATTCTATCGGTGAAGACGAAAAAGGCTTCGCGAAAGGTTAAATATTGTTTGACAAAAAGTGATCATTGAAACTTATTATTAATGTTACTGTTTACGCTTGATAATTGTAGATCAATATATATACTTTTGTGTAAGTTTTGTTGTAACTCGATTTGGATAAAACTGAAGAAAATAAAATTGGCTTAGATGTAAAAACTGGGTCGAACTACGAGGCGAAAAATCAATCGCTTGGTGCCTTTTTAACCAAATTTGGGTATAAGTATATTAAATTAATGAGATATATATTATTGTATTAACAATAAATAAGAATATTGATTTACAAAAGCTTTCACATTTCTTTTTACTTGTGGGGCATATTGTATCGTAAATTATACGGGTTTATTGATTCAACGAACTTTTAATTGTCCCCACTTGTCGGATAATCTTATCTTGATAGCTATAAATATTTATTATCTATCTGAAAAACTTGATGATATAATAGAATATTACTAACATCATAACAACACAAAACCAAAACAACCATTTATCTTGTTTAGCTCTCCTTTCGACACTCCTTATAGTACCTTGACTTACTCCTAATACAATTAATCCTTCTTCAAATTTGGTTTGTAATTTTCTTAATGTTTCATTCTGTTCAACAATATCTTCAAATGCTTGTTGGCCCATTTCCAAAATTCTATCTAGTTGTTCAGACCCTCTTGATAAGGCTTGATTTTCATTATATAATCCTTCTCGCTGTGGCATAACATTTTGCGGTTGTGAATTGGGATCATATGGATTATCTGATGATTGTTGTGATGTTGGTATATGTCTTCTTCCTAATAATTCTTGTTTATTTGATTCTTGTAATGAAATTTCTCTTTGTTTCTTTAGTGAATCAAATTTTGTTGTGAATTGTTCTAGATCTTGATTGAACTTAGTCAATCTGCTTTCGTGTTTTGTATACGTTGAGTCTGTAGTTGCCTTATCTAATAAATCTGAATATTCTTTGATGGTTTTTTTAAATGCTGTGATTGATGTTGTAATTGCCCCTTGTAATGACAATGGTGATGTGGATAAATTCTTTTCAAATTCTGTTAAGTCTCGCGTGATTGTTTGTGTTTGTTTTAGACCATGATTGTAGATTGAATTCATATTGCGGCTAGTGGTTGATCTGATAACATTTATTGATTATTTTTTCTTTGTAAAATCATATGTATAGTGATACCACAACAAAAGAAGAGAGGAAATTTATTGACAAGAAATGGAGTATCGAAGAACAGCATTAAGTCTTTATGCTGAGATTACTTTAAAGAATCTGTCACTTTAGTTTCAATTGAGTCCGATAGTATTGTAGAAGTTGTTGTCAAACTTACTTTTACACCAACTTAAAACTCACCAGCGACGCGTCAAGAGTGGCAGAAAAAAGCAGAGATCAATGATATATTAAACATTCAAAAGATAATGGTTCAATAGGATCTAAATACTCGTCATGAAAAGCAATGATTTAGCCCTGAACCCTAGAACCGTTATTAGTGAACGATATTATACAATTTCGTATTAAAATACGAGTATCTTCAGCACATCCAACACTATCAAATCATGAGAATGACTGTATGATAATTCAAATATTTTCGTACTCCAGAGTAAATATCAGAAACGTTTAAAACAATTTCGGACTCAACTTCTAGCGTCATTTATACAATCATGTTAAAAAGTTCAACGCTATATGAATTCTTGTAACCGAAGCCAAGCGCTTCAAACACAAACGATCGCCTCAAAAAAACTTAGATTAGTTTCCTGGCAGCATTATCTAAAATATCCATTTCTGTTATAAAAAGCGACTTATCAATTTGATGTTTCTTGACATTCTATTATCACTATAACAAAACTCTAGACAATGTTATGATCAAGGCAATCAAACCGGTAGCTATACCCATCAACCATTGTAACACTTGTGTCTTGACTAATTTAATTTGCATTTGCATATTTGCAATTTCCTCATCAACTCTACTAAAAGTATCCTCAATTTTCAATTCATTTGCTGAACTTTCTTCTCTAATTCTACCTTTTTCTAGATTTAAATCTAATCGAACACTTGCTTGATTTTTAGTTATTTCTTCTTTCAATCTATTCTTAAGATTCGTTAAATCTGTTCTTAATTTCTCTTGTTCTTTTTTTAAAGTTGTAAATTCTGATTTATCCATAGTTTGTAATTCACCTTTTAGTTTTGCAAAGTCAACTTTTTGTTGATATGCTATTGATGATAAAGTTTCTTTTGTGACTAAGTTGTTTGTAATTGAATAAATTCCATCATTTATTGCTCCATTTACAACTGTTACTGCAGCTTCTGCCTTTTTGGCATCAAAACCTCCCTTTTCTTGTAATGACTTGACAAATTTCCTTGTATCAAATTTGGTTATAGAACCGATCTGTCGTATACCTATAGGTCGTATATTAATTCTTGTAGTGGCTCTAAACATAATATTGCTTGGTGATAACTTGTTATCAAAATAATATTATTTTTGTTTTACTATTGTATTTTTTTTTTGCATCTATTAATCTAATCATCAATGTTTAGATCAATCAAACATTTCAGAAGATTCAAATCAGATAAATTTTCTTCCATTGAAGAGTTCAATAAAAAGAAAACTAATTATTCATATGGGTATAATTTTGAAAAATTGAAAGATCTAGATGAGGCAACAAAACCATCACAACCGCCTCAGCCAGATCATATGGATATAAATCAAGTTCTTGAAAGAGATCCGAGATTATTGAAACTTAAACCTGGATCACATGAATATAGAGAGACGCTACATAAGGTACATGAAGAATTTATCCTGAATGCCAAAAAGCAAGAAAAACGTTATGAATTTAATGAAAGAATGAGAGGTGTTTTATACGGACTTGCTGCATTAGTTGGAGTTATATCGATACATCAGATTTTTATGAATTATGGATCAATTAAGAATAGATTATTGATGAATTATACTTATGGAGATGTTGTTGATGAAACACCACAACCAAAGAAGAATGTTAAAAGTTCAAAACATCTATTGGAAAAATTACAAACGGAATTAAGTGATGAAAATTTAAAAAATATCAAAAGTAGTGATGAGCCAGGTGTGTATTATTTTGGAGGTGATACTAAAATTCCTTTGAGAATACCGGAATTTGATGGCACATATATTAAGGATGCTTTTGTGGAAAAAGATATTATCGTTGCAATTACAAACAAAGGTAAAGTCTTGCAATGGTACAAAGGTTCTTTAAAACAGCTAAATTTACCTTCAAACCTTACAAGTATAACACCAACTAGAGATAACTACTACTTTTTATCATCAAATGGTGAAATCTTTTATATACCGAGAAAAGTGGAGACGGGATTTATTCCTATGCTTAAAAGAAATTGGTTTGGGATGTTAAAAGTTCTACCATATAGTAAATTAGAAGATGTTAAAGATGTTATCAGTATAAGTTCTGGATTGGATCATCTATTATTACTTAACAAATCAGGTCAAGTCTCAGTTGTCAACACGTCTAAAAATCCAACAAATCTTGGACAATATGGTCCTACTTATTCACCTTTTGAAAAGAAAAAAATACCAGTTAATGAAGTGATAGATTTACCAATTTTGAATTATACATTAGACAAAGGTTCTTTGATTGAAAGAAAATTTGATTCAATTGCAAGTGGGGATTATTTCAATATTATAAGTGAGAATAATACTGTGTGGACTTGGGGTGATAATAGGTTTGGTCAATGTGGTGTAAACAATAGCACAACAACTATACCAATACCTAAACAAATATTTGTGAAAAAAGATTTTAAACGAATACTTAAGACTAAGATTTATGAGCCATTAAAAGTATTTGCTGGTGCATCAACTTCATATCTATTATTAGATAATCTATATTTACTTTCTTTTGGTTGTGGATTGAATGGTGAATTAGGTTCAGGTAGATACTTACAAGTTTGTTCATATCCAGAAATAGCGAAAGGTCAATGGACAACAAAAGAATATGATGAAGCTTCAAACACCTTAAAACTTATCGGTATAAAAGATATCTCCGTTGGTAACAATCATTTCTTACTACAGATGAATTCTGGTGATCTTTTAGCTTCTGGTAGTAACAATTTCGGTCAATTAGGTAATGGTAAAAAAATCAAAACTTCTAAACCAATAAATATTCCTAAATTAATAGAACCAGAAGATGGAAAAGATAAATTGAAATTAGCACAACTGATTAGTGACACAACCACAAAAAGACTACAACTCAAAAACAATCAAACGTTTATTGCCGGTGAGAACGCATCTATTATATGTTATCAGAGGTGATAGTTAATAGATGGTGGAGAAGACTGTAAATAGGTGATAATTGTCAATCGTGTATATTTTGAATCATATATTTATTTATTGATAACTGATAAATTGTAGATATCTTAGATTTTTAGATTCAGATTGTGGTAGATCTAGTGATAAATCGCGCTAAAGATATCTACTTGTAAAATCTATCATTAAAATCGCTATTTAATCTCTAATTCTAATTTAATTGAAATAATTCATTTAAAATTCTTATTGTATCATCTGGTGAATTAACAGCATGACCAATAGTTCTTGGATCTTCATAAATTTCATAATCATTTCCTCCTTTATAAGATTTGTCACCAAAGAAATGAATTGTTTTGAAATGTTCATCTTCAACATGTTGTAAACAATAAGTTTTATCCCAACCAGTTGGGAAAACATCAAAAGAAATTTGACCACCAATTGAATAAGTTAAACCAAAATCTTTAAAATTTTCTTTTAATGCATCAACTAATTTTTCTCTTACATGAGCTTGTTTATCATATTTTTCAAATTCATTTCTTTCATTTGTTGAAGCATTTCTACCAACTGGTGAAACATTAATCATACCATTTCTAAATTCAATAAAAGTACCTCTTCTAATTGGAATATCTATATCAGATAAATATCTTAAAATAAATTTAACTAATTTATTATATTTATCTTCTCCTAACCATTGAATAAATGATTGACTTGCTAATTGTTTACCTAATTTATAAGCAGTTAAACCATTTTCACTAAAACAATAATCAAAATCTTGTAATACATTTGGTCCTAATTGTTCAACTTGTTTTGATAAATCTGAACCTCCGACAAATCCTATAACTACTTTTTTTCTTAATTTTGCAAGAGTTTCTTTCATTTCTGGTGAAATGGTTAATCTAGCTGGAGTCAATGTTCCATCGACATCGAATAAAACAAGGGTTTTTGGGTCTTCTTTAGATGAAAATGACATTTTTCTATGAGTTGGTGGTGTTGAATAAGAAGTGATAAATGAGGAATTGAAAAAAAAAAAAAATGTTAATAAATCTAAACAACGCATTGTACAAACGTGTTAAATACCTTTGACGCGTCTCATGTTAAAATAATTGTGGTCCTACAACACTTTCCAAAGACCTAGAATACTTTACAATGATAAAAGAAACCGAACGACCAAACGACAGAGATTCTGGATCAGTTTTCAAATAAATCTCCGTCAGACCACGTCTCTTCGGATGTCGTGGAGATACTTTCACAAATCTTTTAACACGAGTGGAAAGCATTATATAATATGAACAAATTGTGTTATTATATAATATGAACACAATATATCAGTAGCCGATGAAATAAAACTCCAAAGGATAATGAACATCTGCAAACAGTTTCAGTGCTTCTAAGATAGATCTGAACGAAAAAAAGATCAAATCATTTGTGCTCGAAGTTGTGTTCGCAATATCGAATTATTTTGACATATTATATTTCAATTCATCCTCTTTTTCAAGAGGAATTAAAGGAAAGTTAACGCTAGCCTCTACCCGTCTGTGGCCTGACTAATTGTAGAAAGAGGATTAGTCCTAATTGAAACACCTTAAGTATCTCTACAACATTATTTTGCAACCAAGTAACATTCCCTGAAATTTTGTACAAAGTTGAGAGAACCCACTTGATCAACAATTGACGAGGTTAACCAAGTAAATTTTATGATTTGTGACTTTAGAGCCTGGCCATAGAATTAAATTTAGTTCCTAGTCATAAACTTGACCTATGAAATAGAGTGAAGGTAATAGTCGTTTGGTGTTATCCTCGATAAAGCTAAATTAAATTAGGAATAGTATCACCCGTACTCTACAAATACATAAATCTTATTTTAAATCCTTACAATTAAATCTACTATACAACTTATACAGTTCCAAACCGTTTAAGCATTGTATTGGAAGTATGGGAATTGTTTTAAGTTTTGTTCCAAATTACCTTTTCTTGATAAGAATTTAACATAAGCACCATCATCTAAAACTTCACCTTTGTTTTTCTTGACAACATATTCTTCTCTATTTAATGGTGTGAAACCCCATTTCTTTGAAATAATAATTTTTTGTTGACCTGGGAATTTATATCTAGCTCTTCTTAAACCTTCAATAACAACATCTTTATTTGAATCTTTAGTTCTAGCAGACATGATAATTTGACCAATAGAAACTCTGGCAGCTAAACCATGTGGTTTACCCCAAGCACCTCTCATACCTTGTTGTAATCTATCAGCACCTGCACATGACAACATTTTATTGATTCTTAAAACATGGAATGGATGAACTCTAATTCTTAAATGGAATGAATCTCTTCCTGAGATTTTGGTGATGTATTTGTTGGCACAGATACGAGCAGCTTCTAAAGCTTCTGATGATAATTGTTCTAATTCATTTGAAACTAAATGAATACATAATGGGAATTCATCAACTGGAGCTTTCTTTCTACCTAAATCATAGATTCTGATTTTTGGATCTGGGACAGCTCTATTATATCTTGATTTTGGGTATGGTTTGTTTTTACAGTATCTGTAACATCTAGCTGGTCTTCTAGCCATTTTGTATGATGATTAAATTGGTTAATAGTAACTAATGAAAGTGAAAAATTAAAAATTTTATATAAATTTTATTAATGAATGGCGAGAGTTTATTACTGTGTGACACAAAATTTATTAAGTACTTAGCGCTGACAAATACTAAACAGAGAAAAATAAATTTCCGGTCATTGCATCAGTAGTATTAATAAGCAAATTCGGGTGAACAATATTGTACAGCAATAACACATAATAAAACACATTGCCACTCCTCTCTTATGATTTATTAATATAATATCCTTGAGATGCAAGTTTGATCGATTACTGATATCTTAGCTGGACTTTACTGGCTTAACATAATTTTGAAATGACTTTGGTAGCATAATTTAAAAGTAGGGTTCAAACCCTGAAAATAGTTATTAGGTCGGCTTTTGGTCGAACGTTGCAAATTAGGTCGACCCACCTACTTTGGATCGAATTGACTGATCTCATCTCAACACAATCTGATTAAACAAGAAGGTAAACCACACTAAGTCACAATGGGTAGATATAGTGTTAAAAGATATAAAACCAAGAGGAGAACAAGAGATTTAGATCTTATCTATGATGATTTATCAACCACACAATCAATAAATAATCTTAAGAATCAACCATTAGATGAATATAAACCAGGTTTAGGACAATATTATTGTATAGAATGTGCAAAATATTTTGAAAATCAAATAAGTTTAGATCGTCATCAAAAATCCAAGATTCATAAAAGAAGAGTTAAAATATTAAAAGAAAGACCATATACTCCATTAGAAGCAGAAGCAGCTAGTGGTGTTAATTTATTAAAATTTGTTGAATCTGTTGAAAAATATAAACAATTGGAACAATTTAAATCAGAAAATAAAGAAGAATATGATAAAGTAAATAATCAAAAGAAAGATAATTTAGATGCTTTGATAACGGGTGTTCCATCTGAAGAATTCCAAAAACAAAAAGAACTAGAGCAAGGACAAGAAGTGGAGGTAGTTCAAGAAGTGACCATGACGGAGTAAGCGTCAAATTCATGTCAATCACTTATTATTTCAATTCTTTTAAGCATTTAAGATCAAACGATGATCATTTTACATACATTTATACTCAATTAACGACCTTTGATGAACAACTATGCAATCGTAAATTAAAGTTTTGTGATGACATATGCGTAATACTTTAATCGTATATTTCTGCGCGTTTTGCCACTCCACTTTTTATTTCTTTTGGTATTTCGTGAGGCTTTCGAGATAATAAAGTTTTTGATCAACTAAACCCATGCAAAATGAGGTTAAAATTGAAATCAGAGCAGGGTGTGGCAACGATAAATGTGAAGTCAGATCAACTATTTAATGATTTTCTAACAGATGTACGATCCAATACTCAAATTTCCACAGATTCTTCAAATGTTATCAATTCAATAAAATTTGGATTTCCTCCCAAAACTATAGAATTAGATTCATCAAGTACAACAACAATACAAGATAAAGGTATAAAAGATGGTGATCAATTATTAATACAGTTTAAATCTAATAAAAGAAAAAGTTCATCAACAACTTCGCCACCTCCAACTATAACGAATGTGCTATCAGCACCGAAAAGACAAGACACAAAAGACGATATTCCATCAGTATTTATAGAATCATTAAATAAATATCTAATACTTCGAAATATCCCCGATGATAATTCATGTATGTTTAACTCAATTTCATATGCCATATCAGGTAATGATTATTCATTAATATCGCCACCAGAAGAATTAAGAAAAGTAATTGTGAATTATATTAAAAAAGATCCTGAGCTTTATTCAGATTTAGTATTAGGTAGATCAAGAGATTCATATTGTGAATGGATTTTGAAAAAAGAAAGTTGGGGAGGTGGTATAGAATTAGGAATTTTATCAGATTGGTTTGATATTCAATTTACTTGTATTGATATTGAACTGGGGAATTTTGTTGAAATTAAAAATGAAAAAAAGAAACCTACAAAATTTATAATGTTAATTTATAGTGGTGTTCATTATGATGTGTTAGCAGTTAATAATGAATTAAGTACCAAAAATAAAGATAAAGATGAATGTGTTTGGAATATACTGGATTCAACACTGTCAGATATAATTGATGCAGCTAAAAAATTATGTAAATTATTACAAGAAAAAGATTATAGTACAAATACCACAACTTTTAGAGTAAGATGTAATGATTGTTATCTGGTTCTAGTTGGTGAAACTGGAGTAGCAAAGCATGCTGAACAAACAGGACATTTAAATTTTGGAGAAGTAAAGAAAAAGATATAATCTTTGCAAAAGTTCAATTGATAAATCATGTAACCCACAGGGTCTGAATTTAGTGGGACAAAACTTCACAAAGGACGCTCTCATATAACTTGCTTTTAAAAAGTTATTCTATAGACATTCAATACATACATTTAGCATTAATTGTAACACCACGTATTTATTTCTTTTATTGATCATCTTCTGGCTACACGTAAATCGAAGCATGTTGCATGGAAATTTATTTTCTAACACGAACTGGTAGCTTGCCTAATAATAATATTTACTTGAAAAAGAATTTAATAATTTTGATTTCAAAAATTTGTAAATTAAAAAGTATTGAAATCAATCATTCAACAACCAACAAAAATGTCAGCATCTACTGAATTTTTCTGTATGTATATCAAAATCAAGCTGGACTAATTGAAATGTATACTAACAAATCCTAGGTCGTATACCCAAAACGATAGAACTTTTTCAAGATTTTGAAGAAATTACTCCAATTAAATCATTAGGAGAATGTAGATCAGCTTTATATTCATTAAATGGTTCATATTTTGCATATACTCAACCAGATGAAGTTATAATATTAGATACCACAAATAAAGCTCAATTATATTATAAAATAGAAATATCTGAAATTTTTGATTTAAATTTTTCACCAAAGGGAACATATTTATGTCTTTGGGGAAAACCAATCTTATTAAATAAAGAAAATGGTAAATGGAATAATAATGTTAAAATTTTTAATTTAAAAACAAAAACAATAATTGCAGAATGGAGTTCAAAAAATCAAAATGGTTGGAAACCTCAATTTACAAGTGAAGAAACTTTAATTTGTAAAAATTTTAATAATGAAATTCAATTTTATGAAATAAATTCTGATATAACTACATTAAATTTAAATCAACCAAATAAAAAATTTAAATTAGATGATAATAAAACCATATTTAAATTAAGTCCTGGAAAAAATCCTTCAATTGCTATTTTTATACCTGAAAAATCATCACAACCAGCTTCTATATCAATATATGAATTAAATAATTTTAAAAATCCAATATGTTTTAAAAAATTTTTTAAAGCTGAAAAATGTGAAATTAAATGGAATTCTTTAGGTACTGCATTATTAGCATTAGCATCAACTGATCATGATACAACAAATAAAAGTTATTATGGAGAATCAAATTTATATTTATTAGGTATTGCTGGTGCTTATAATTCAAGAATTGAATTAACTAAAGAAGGTCCAATACATGATATAACTTGGTCTCCAAGTGCAAGAGAATTTGCTGTAAGTTATGGTTATATGCCATCTGAAACTACATTTTTTGATGCAAGAGGTAATTCAATACATTCATTACCAACAAATTCAAGAAATACTATATTATATTCACCTCATGCAAAATTTGTATTAGTTGCAGGATTTGGTAATTTACAGGGTACTGTTGATGTTTATGATCGTCAAAATAAATTTTCGAAAGTTGTAAGTTTTGAAGCTTCAAATACTTCTGTTTGTGAATGGTCTCCTTGTGGTAGATTTATATTAACTGCTACTACTTCACCAAGATTAAGAGTCGATAATGGACTAAAAATTTGGCATGCAAGTGGTAAATTAATTTATTTAAAAGAATTTACTGAATTATATTCAATTAGTTGGAAACCTCAAGATTTGAGTAAGTTTCCACCTCTTAAAAATTTAGAACCGGCACCAGAAGCTCATTCATCAGCAAAAGAATATTTAGCAAAACGAGAAGCATTGGCAAATTCAGCCTCCAAAAAACCAGCAGGTGCTTATCGTCCACCACATGCAAGAGGTAATAATAATAACACAACCACAACATTATATCAAAAAGAAATGGAATCAAATTTGAAAAATGGAAATACTTCAACTCCACCACCACCAGGACTTTCAAAATTACCACGTCAAAAAGTAATAGTTGGAGCAGCTCCAGTAGTTGAAAAAGAAAGTAAAGCAGCTGCAAAAAATAGAAAAAAAAGAGAAGCCAAAAAGAAAGATCAATCACCAGCTCCACAATCTTCAACTCTGGTATCTACTTCAAAAGAAGAAGAAACAGGTGGTTCAGTTTTAGGAGGAATTCAATCATTAGAAGAAAAAAAAATTAGACTGTTATTAAAAAAATTAAGAGCAATTGAACAATTAAAAATGAAACAAGCAAGTGGTGAAATTTTAGAAGATACTCAAGTTATTAAAATTCAAAAAGAAGATGAAATTAGAAATGAATTATTAAGTTTAGGATGGGATGAGTGATAGGTAGAAGAAGAACAATTGAAGAATAGAGTAAAGATGTTTGGTGCTTGTTTAGTTTATAGAATTCTTTTTTTTTTATTTTTTTCATAGATTTTGAAGTAATACATTATTGATATTATTTGTGGATTGATAATTCGTTCTTGTAGAAGTGATAACTTATCGTGTTCATCATTTATCGATCATAATTCATAAATCCTTGAGCCCATAGTGAAGTATTTTGAATAAGCTAAATTTTCAAAACGTGGGACGGACTTCATCATCAAGGAAAGATAAAGAATACGAGAAGCACTAAAATTTTGGTTACATTTTGTTGTAGATATATATGAAGTGAAGAAACCTTTTGCCTCATTTTCTTGTAAGTAGATACTAGTTTAGAAAATGACCACTTGATTATTTCTATTTCAATCCAACTTCTATTCTTCATTTGAGTTTATTTTGCATCTTTTCTTTTTCACAAATTATTTGCATCAATTTGAAACGAGAATAAAATACGAATTAATCAGTATAGACTTTATTTATGTTTCCCAACGCATCTCACAACTTCTGAAGGCAAATGCTTTACACTAGGATGTACATATGGCTGATGAGTTACTATATAGGATACTTATAATTGTAATCACTTATCTATTTTCGTAGATTTAATTAGCATATAGTCTATTAGATAACGGGTTTCAGATTTTTTAATATTGTAGTACGGAAGTTCCTTTTACAACGTCTAATTAATTTTTTTTTTAGTTTCTATTGTTCCTAATTGAGTAAATTAATTAATTGCATAATACTGTATATAAAGTTGAGGCAAAGTTTTTGTGCTGAATCACACGATTCTCTCGTTTAGGAAGTAGATTTTGTGTCAGATCCGGCTGTTAAGTTATTTTTAGAATTAAATTTTTATTTTTTTAATTATTTTTTTGTTGAGTTAGTAAATTTCAAAAAAGGTTCCATTTTATTCTGAAATGGAACAATAATTATTATCGTGAATTCAAATCGACCCCTCCGTCGGAAATTTTTGGATGTTTTTAAGTATGGAGGATGGTACGGATTGTACTGTGGTACGGATGTTTGTGGATGTCTGACGGAGGGGTCCATTTGAAAGGTGGATTATTATTATATATTTAATGTACAATAATCATGAGATACATGTTGTTAAAAATATTGATGAATTGCAAACAGGCTGAATTAATAGTTTAGCAGGTGGTTATCTTACCGAACCTTCCATTTTAATTGTTCAGATGTTAAAATCACAAATTAACGCGTTTGTTCTCGAGTGATTTTTTTTTTTAAGTAATCAAAATTTCGTGTCAAACTTTAAGGGTGGAAGTATAATGGGTTAAACTTTTTTAAATACATAGGATTGAAATTTTTTCAACATCAACCAAACTTTGTTGATAGTTTTTAAGAGCTTAACTATTCATTAAACTTATCTTCCTCGAAGAATTCTGATTGAAAAAATTGTATAGCGTTCCAAAAGATAGATAAGCTTTCAAAACTGATATATTAAACTCAAAATGATTGCCTCTTTCTTAATAGTTCTCGAGAAAATTTAAGTTGATACGCGTTTTCATGTGAAACAAGGAAGATTTTGTTGACTCAACAACGAAGCAGCAGGTACTTTATCAATCGATTTAACTGTCATACTATACGGATCAATTATCTACATTCACATACAAAATTCTACCCGTAAAAATGTAGTACATACACGGAGATACTTTTTAAATGTGTGGATTTTCATTATGAAAAGCAAAATGTATACAAGGAAAGTATAACTAAACAATTAAAAAGAATAAACGCGATTTTATTCATAATTTAAAGATTATTAAGGAGAAAGAAAAAAAGATAGAACATTGATAAAGCTGTACTAAATTTATTAATTAATGAATGGTTAGGTCGGTTGATTATTGATCTACTTTACATCACTAATCTAATTTAATTTATAATTTTGTGAATTTATTCTTCACACGTCTTCATTTCAATTGAAATATTATTTTTAATTTTTACTTCACCTTACTTACTTTAAATACTATTATATCAACTTTGTAACACAATTTTTCGTTGATTTCAATAGTAAATTTTTGATTTTGAGTTTTTTCATTTGAAAATCAAATTAATTTTTTAAATTTCTTCTCTCTTTTTTTTTCTTGATTGATTTTCAACTACAACAACATCTTACCAAAGGTAAATATCATTTGACAGTATGTTAAATCTTCGACCAACCAACCACTCAGTTCGTAAATTGAAAAAGTAATTCAATTCAATATTGGAGACAGATCTGGAAATTAAAAAAAGAATCGTGAAAAAAAAATTTATTAAAATCCGTGGTAGTAGTGTGAAGAAATCAAAAAATTTGTATTGAGATCATAGCCTACATTTCAGATTTAGATCTCATCAATCAACTACAGATACTATCGAGAGTAATTCCAATTCAGATTCATCAAATCAAGATTTCAATTTGGATCAGAAATTATTTGATAAAAGTAGAGAATTCAGATTTCAGGAGCACTAAAAAATTTATAAGAGATCTCAAAATCTGAAACTAATATAAAGAAACAGTGAAACAAAATAAAAAAAAAAAAAAAAAAAAAATTAAAAAAATATATACAACGGGATATGCTACTTTCCCCCCCCCCTCGAAGAGGGGGGGGGGGAGATATAGCTTTTATATCTATTTATAAC